ACAGTTCTGTTCACAGTTAGCAAAGGAGAAAGTGAAATACAGTGCACGTGTTTTAATAGAAACTCCTCTAGCAAAAGGTTAGGCTGAGACCATACATCAAGACAGAAAAGGAAATTGGTTTTCAGGTGATTCTAACCACCTCCACTTAACGGGAAGAGCTGATCTAGCAAACCTGAGTCAGGAAACGGAGTCATCAAAGAAATCAAATACACACTCCAGCAGAGTGCCACTTAGCATGTTTCTGTAAATAGCTATTACGCAGTAAACAGATGTTCAGGGGCACGCTATCAGCAGCCTTTTTGTATCAGCCCCATAATTCAGTCTGTCTCTTGCAGCCTGTTAGTCCTCACCTGTCTCAGGCAGGAACTGCTTTTGGCACCTGGGTGGTCCTGCTCAGATCCCTGCTACCTTTTCTTGCCTTGGGAGCTATCTCAGCCCATGCAGCCAGAGCATTAGTGGTCATCTGCAAAGACCTCTCATTATCTGAGGTAGCAGCTTCCCAAGAAGATAGCCAGCCACCATCAGGCTTCAGGTAGGAGGTTTGGGATTGTCTAATGTTTACATAGACACTAACAGTCTCCTGGTAGTATTTTAGTCTCTTCTGGGGTGAACAAGATGCTAAGCTACGTACTTCTCTATGGAGGATTGCAAGGCCTGCCTGTCTCCAAGAGTGGCCAGCTGTGCATCATAGTAAGTTGACAGTAAATTCATAAAAAGTTCATAGTAAGCCTTCTCAGAAAGAGCTGTAAGGGACTGCTTCTGAGAGACCTACAGCTCCCACTGCCTCCTAGATGCCTTTGAAGATCTAAGCCTTATTTGTTATCTTGCGTCTTACAAGAGCTGTAGCATGTAAGTGAAGTTGAGCATTCTAAAAAGAAAAAGCAGAAACATTTTGTTCTGTTTGTAGCCCATGAAGATTTTTACTAGCTAATGATGCACCATATAATGAAGTTACTGTTTATTAGACTTGTTTTTCAATACAACACATTGCTTTTTCCTTTCATTACCAGGGAGTATATTTAGGTCTATTAAAGTAACTTTTTTTTTAAAATTTGATTTGCCTCTGGAAATTGTATTATGTCTTTAATCTCATGTCTTTCCCTGCCATACTGTACTCTGCTGCTGCTTTTTTTTTCTTTTGTTCTTTTTTTTTCCTCCCTTGGGGCAGGGGGCGTGTCTTAAAAGCAGATCTCTCACTCACTGGTAGCCCAGTCCTGTTGTTCTTTCAAGTACCAGGCAGAATTGCAACAAGTCCATAATTTTAAGCAGTAAGACAAGAGCTGTTAGTTACTGCAGATCTCTGTGCCTGTTGTGCAATAGGCTGGTGTTGCAGTAAGTGACAGCAACCTGGAGTCTGTTGTGTTACCTCGCTGTGACCAGGTCCTCTCAGTGAACGAGCCATTCCTTGATGCTTTCTGTTACTGAACCCTCTCTAAGTGCAGAATTTTGAGGATCAAACCCCTAAACCTTGGCTGAGAAATCAACCAAAGGAGATGCTGCAGGTAAACTTCTAAGGTAGCCTTATCTAACACACAGCCTTGGTTAACCTCAAAGCCTTGGCTGGTCTCCTGGTCAGGCTGTCCTACAGCAGTTGAAAGCTGCCTGGTGCTGGGTTTGGCACTGCTCAACTTGACAACTGCAATTTGCATATGCCTGCTCTCATAAGCTGTTGTCCGTGTGAAATTATTTGGGTTTAGATTTTTTTTTTTTACAATGTTTTATGTCTGTAGTGTAATCATAGGCAGTACTTGAAGTATTTCTTACCCTGCAATCAGGAAAGCCCTCCAGCTAGGGACAGAGAAGGGCCTGGAAAAAGGTTAGGAGTCTTTCTTCACTCTGTGCCTTCTTTCTCAAACTGAGTGAAATCAGACAAAGACTGTAACTGATTTTGGAGGGGTCTGAACCACGTCTTACGAGCCTAAGGAGAACCATCAAATAAAGTGGGGAGAGAGTAACCTAGAAAAATAAGTTCCTTGGCTTTAGGGTCTCTTGTAGACAAGAGGCACTGCAGAAACTAATCACCAAAAATTGCAGGATTAAGGAAAACATGTAGATGGAGAAGGAATAGACAAAAACTTTCTACATCTGAGACAGTAGGGAAGGGAAGTGGGCTGTGGAGTTGGTGAGATGGAATGGGTAGTGGGTAGCAGGGCTATGGTTCACATCTTCTCGTGTGGCTCACTTGCACAGGGAAACACCAATTTTATCAAGTTCAGAGGCTATTCCAACCCTTTTGTATAATCAGAATGTGTTCCTGGTACTTTAGTTGTGTGACACTTTAAGAGTTCTTCCTGAAACTTCAGAAAGTCCGGTAAAGGTTACAACCTGGTTTGGGAGTCTGAATGTTAGTAACAAAATCTTTCAAGCTGAGAGCTATCTGTAATTCTGAAAATCAGTAAATATTTCTCTATGTGAAAGGCTAGGCACTTTTAGAGGTTCTTAATATAGATGCATCACATGGTATTTTGAGACTTGTTTTTCTAAAAAGTACATACTTCATAATGATAGAAAAAAAACTAATTAAAATCCCCACTTTCCCCATCTATAGGAGCAGTGTTCATTCCCAAGGGGCAGTGCCTATGGTTTTCAGCGTTAGATATTTACATATTTTGGACCTTTGTGCATAACAGAAAGCAAAATATGTTTCACTAACTACATGTGTTTTAATTATCAATTACAAGTGTTTTAGCTTGGCAAAACAGTAGGCAAACTTGGAACTGTGTTTTGTGCCTCAAAATGACCAAAAACAGTATAGAAGTGAGCCCTAAATTCATTGTCACACATGTTTTTTTCAGCCCAGGTTGCTCACAGTTCACCAAGTCAAATAAATTAAATCATTTTCAGTTGTGGGATGACTGAAGTTCATTCTGCAGTGCATTAAAATAAAAATTACAAAAAAATAAACCCTTAAATGTTTTTTGAGTCAGGGTAAAATTCAACATACAATTCTCTTAATCAGTTTTGTCAGCCTAAGGTTTTTGCTTGTGCCTAGGACAAGCTTCAAAGAGTAAAATGGGAAATTTTGAGGGCTAGCTTTGGGTTGCCAGTAGCTTTTCTCCTTGTCTAATGTGTAAATCACCATTATCCTGAAGCCAAACCACAGGAGACAATAGAGGGGTTTTAGGCTTCAGCAACAAAATGTTGCATGTATTAATCATACAGCTAAAAGGTACAAAGTGCAATTTAAAAAAAAAAAAAAAAACCCTGAGTGTTTGTAATGAGAAACATTTAAAACAAACAAACAAAAACCAACAACAACAAACCAAAATCAAACAAAAATCTCCTCTGATCTGAGGGGCTGAGCTTTTTGGTAAGTTTGCAAGGTTGTGATGGTCAGCATACTCTGACTTATGGTTCACTTCTTGTGCTAAATAATCTTTGAAGGAGCGTTTTCTTTCCTGACTGATAGGGAATTCGTGAAGCCTGAGTAATCTGTCAGTACACAGAGGTTCCTGATGCTGCCTTGTCTACTTTAGCTACCTTGTGCTTTTTTTAGATTAGATTTGGGCCAAACACAGTTGTATGATATTTATGATACCTTTTGAGCATCTAAACCTCCTCACTAATATGCTGGCCGGATTCTGTTTTGAATAATTTGGTAATTCAAGATTCTCTACAACCTGTTTAGAAATAGAGTCATATTCTCTGTAATAGTTGCTCACAAATAGAAAATAAAATGTCACTCTCCCCGTCCTTAATGGGAAGTTAAGATGGATTGTAGTTTGTATCCATGGTTGTTATCTCAGGCCTGGGGAGCAAAGTGTTCATCTATGTTTGTCTAATAGTGATACTTGAATTACACTTACTGCCACGCCCCTACGTTCTCATTATTGTTACAGGATTATGTTTGTATTTTCTTTATTGTCTGGATGCTCAGAGCACATTTCATTTCCTATGCACAGTACAAATCAATTGTCATTCTATCTTAACTGTTAAATGGTCATCTATATGTCATGAGAAGTCATTTACTAGTTCCTGTTGAATTTTTTTGTTCAGTCGGTCTTCTCATAACTGTCAGCACCAGCTAGTAATTAATTACAGTTGTTGATTTAGGAGAATTGGAGCAGAATGAGCTAAGAAAGTATGATCATTGGTCTGCCTTTAGCAGCACGAGCATGTCTTGGCGTTACTGTTGTTTGTGGCCCAGGAGGTTCCCAGTGTTATATCAACATCATCAACTGATGTCCATTTTTCATGACTAGTAGATACTTTTTCCCATTTATTTTTTTCAGAATACCTTGTTGGCCAATACGTATTATGAAACAATGTATTGTGCTGCTGTGGTGGGTTTGAGTTTGGATTTTACTTGGTTGACTGTTACAGCTTTAAGATAGGCTTCCTCTATGGTCTCAGCTACAGAGTGTGTGGTGCTTAATAAGGTTTAAATGAGCTCAAAAAAAAGATTCTGAAGAAGGAGAGAAGTCTACTAAAGCAACAATGCTGTCATTAGAGTCATACAATAGGTTTGATTCTCCACTCCCTTAAATTAGTTTTTCACACGTATAAAAGGTGATATGAGTTACAAGGCATAAAACCTGCAGATCAAGCCCTGGGCTCCTTATTTATTCCATAGGTCTCTACTTATTAACTTATAATTCAAGGGTAAACATTTTACAAAGAAATACCTGAGCTAGTCCTCCAGCATGTATAAGGGTTAAATCGGGCATCCAGGAACAACCAGGCACCAGTAGGCCATAGAGAGCAATCACATAGTATGGCACAGAGTAGAACATGTATGCCAGCATCTGCATTTTAAACAGAAAAATTAGTTGCTTTGCAGTGTAAGGGAGATGCATTTAAAAATTAGCCAGCTGCTGACTGAGGAGTTGAGACTATTCAAAACTACACTCACAGCAGCAGTGACTCCCAGGCCTTTTTGCAGCCATAACTTCTTTGAGAAAAGAATTACACACCTGGATGCTGTTGACTGGACCCAGCTATCTTAAGGCCTCCACTAATACTGACAGCTGTTGTCTCTTTGCCCCAACCAAATCCACTTCATCCCAGGACATACTTTCCCACCTGTGCCAATAAGCATGGCTTGACCTAACTCAGCTTCCAACACAACATGGGTGTCCATTCCTCAAGCTCCACTGCACTTTCAGTTGAGAGGTATGAGATAAGCCACCCCTTTCCCAGAAAGAACAGGACCAGCGGAGATGTTTGGATTCTGCTCATTGCCTCACTCATCAATCCTCTTAATGCTTCAGGCCCTGCCCCTGTGCAGCAGCCAGAGTTACAAAAGAATGACAACCTTGTAAATATTACAAAACTAAAGCAAAACATTCCATTTTCTGCAATGCTTGTGCAAATAGGGTTTGTGGAAAAAAGTGTCGTATTTCAAGGAGTGTGCCTCTGGTGACAGAAGCATAACATGAGCTTAAGAAATCTAGTCATATTACACTCCTTTTTGCTCCATTATTCCAGACGGAAAGTCTACTTTGCCCTTCTAAGGAAGGAGAATGATCATAAAAAGCATGCAGGTGTGTTTCCTGGGCTATATTAAAAGAAGCCACAGTAATTAGGATGTGTAACTCTAGGTAGCTGATTTGAATCCAAGTTAAGTTTATTACAACAAAGAGTTGGTACCCTGTAATGGCTGTAGTAGAAAACACGAAATACTGTTTAACTTGCCATGAGCAAATACTTCCCTTATTGATCTCGTCATCTGTGAAACCCGTGGCTTCATCTTTGTGCCAGTTAACAAATCACTTCTTAACACTCTATGCTCCGCAGTCAGTGCTTTACCTGAAGCTTAGGATAGGCAGCAGGATCTTTTATATAAGGCTCGTGAAGTTGAATATATAGCCGGC